ATCTTCCAGGTGGTTTTCAAAGTATAATTTTCATTATAAAAATTAAAATACATTGTATTTGGTTTTCTTTCTTCAAATAAACCTTCAACAAAAAAAGGCCTTTGTCCTTTCCTTTGGCTTTATTTATCTTCTTTTACCTTTCTAAGAGTTTAGCATGTTTTCTAGTCTTTCTGACTTTTCTAGTATTTTGGCTTCCCATGCCAGTTGACTCTTCTCCTCTGTGGGGCTGGATAATTTCCTGACAGACCAGAACCAACCCCAACCCACTGCTGCCATGATGATTCCGATTCATTGTGACCATTCATTGGGTTTCTGAGGCTGTCAGTCCTGGGAGGTAACTGCCCATCTTTCTCTTGCAAAGTGTCTGGTGGCACTGCCAGCATTACATACTATGTAACCAGGGTTCCATTTCCTGACATAGTATTTATATTCTTTTCCTCAATTCATGTTTAGTGGAGGTGGGTTTGACCACGGAGCTCCATGTTACCTGAGTTATGAAAATAGCCCTGTGGAGGATTTACCCTAGTTATCTACTATTGTGGTTACTGAGATATTAGGACCAGATGGATTTAACAAACAGAAATTTATTCTCTTACATCTTAAAAAAAAAAACAACCCAAATTGGAACTGACCCACAGTTGACCCTCCAGTAAGCTTCTGAGAGAGTGTAAATTACACTGGAGGAGATTATCCCCCTTCCTCCCTCAGAGCCCCTGGTGGATTTGAACCACCAGAGAGATACCATCTTTGGGTTGCCAGCACAGCTCCCTGTAGACTACACCCTCAGAGTTCCCTTACATCTTCTTGTGGTTACTATGCTCTGTCAAGTCAGATCTGACTCATAGCTGAGCCTCGAGCAGATTTTCAGAGGCAGTAAATCGCACGCGAGGACACTTTCCCTCTTTCTCCAGTGGAGCAGCTGGTGATTTTGAACCACATGCCTTCGGGATGGCAGTGTAGTTCCTTACAACTAGGTCACCGGGGTTCCCTTCTAATCCTTTGTTGTTCTGTGCCTTTGAGTCAGAACTGACAGAGTTGACACTGTATGAGGGGGAGGAGATTGCCCAGTTTTCTTCTGCAGCAGCTGGTCGATTTGAACCACAGACCTTTAAGTTGGCTGTGCAACTCCTTACCACTCTCAATTCAGAGTCCCGGCTCTAGGGAAGGTCTGCTCTGTCTGTGTCAAGTGTCTTTTTATTTGTCTTCATTTTCTTCGGCATCTGTAGGCCAGGTCTTACTTGACTTGATAGAAATCTCTATGTCTTGGACTTCTCTGCTATCCAGAGACTTCCAAGCACAAGGACGTGGGTCCCAAAGGGCACATTCCAATCCTTATTAATATTTCTTAGCAGAAGTGAGGTCCCCCATCTCAGCTTACTTTTGCCCCCTTTTGTTTTACAGTCCACCCACACCCTGGGAACCCTCTTTGACTGTGCAGAACTAAGGAGTGTTGTGCTTCACCCTTAATTCTTTTACAACTCTTTGCTTTATTAGGTCACGGGGAATTGTTATACAGTTCCCAGAATATTTGTACTTGCTTATAGTAGTATCCTGAAGTTCTTCAGTGCCAATCAGTTCTTTTTGATATGGTGATTCTGTGTATTTTCTCCATATCCTTTTGATGCTTTCTGGATCATTCAGTATATTCCCCATAGCATCTTTCAGTATTGCAACTCAATGTTTAAATTTGTTTTTCAGTTCTCCCAGCTTGCGAAATGCAGAGCAAGTTCTACCCCTTTTAATACTCTCCAATTCCAGCTCTCTGCACATCCCATTATTATACTTTGGTTTGTCCTCTCAAGCTGCCCTTTGAAATCTTCTGCTTAGCTCTTTTACTTCAGCATGTTTTCATTTGTTTTGACTTTTTGATGCTCTCGTGCAATTTTCAGAATTGAAAATGAAGGGGGTAATGAACTTGGAAGTGGAAGCTGCTATGAAAGTATTGACAAAAAAAAAAAAATAAGGCCCCAGGACTGATGGGATACCATTTGATTTGTTTCAATTAACAGATGCAGCCTTCACCAGTCTATGCCAAGAATTTTGGAGGACAGCTTCCTGGCTTTCCAAAAAAAGGTGATCCAACTAAATGTGGAAGCTATCAAACGGTATCATTAATATCATCATATGCAAGTGCAGTACTGCTGAAGATCATTCAAAATTGGCTAGAACAGTACATTGATAGGGAGCAACCAGATGTGAAAGCAGGATTTAGAAGAGGTCATAGCACCAGGGTTATCATTGTTGATGTCAGTCCTGACGGAAAGTAGAGTATACCAGAAGAATGTCTATTTGTGCTTTATTGACAGGCATTTGGCAGCGTGGATCATAACTAGTTGTTGCTGACATTGAAAAGAGCGGGAATCCAAGAGCACTTTATTGTGCTCATGCAAAATCTATACCTAGACCAGGAAGCTGTTGTGCAAACAGAGCAGGGGAATGCTGCATGGTTTAAAATTAAGAAGGGAGTATTTGTATTGTGAGGTTTGTATGGTCTTCCACACCTATTCAATCTGTATGCTGAGCAAATTATTTGAGAAGCTGGACACGTTGAAGAGGAATGTGGCATCAGGATCAGAAGGAGACTCATCAATGACCTGCATTAAGCAAATGGCATAACCTTGCTTGCTGCGAGTGAGGAGGACTTGAAACCCTTGTTGCAGACGATCTAGGAATGCAGCCTTCAATATGGATTGCATCTAATTTTCAAGAAAACAAAGATTCTTACCACTGACCGACAAGCAACATCATGATGGATGGAGACGAGATTAAACTGTCAACAACTTCATCTTACTTGGATTCACAATTAACATCCTTGGTACCAGCAGTCAGGAAATAAGGAGACATAGTGTACTGGGAAAGTCTACAGCTAGGGGCCTCTCTAAATTATTGAGGAGTAGTGATGCCAGTTTGAGGACTAAAGTGTGTCTGATTCAGGCCTTGCCTTTCTGATTATTTGCTATGCATCTGAGAGTGGGACAGTGAATAGGGATGACAGAAGAAGAATTGAAGCCTTTAAGTTGTGGTGTTGGAGAAGAGCACTGAACATCCCATGGATGACCAAAAGAACAAGTTAAGTATGTCTTGGAGAAGGTGCAGCTGGAGTGCTCTTTGGAGGCAAGAATTATGAGGCTTTGCCTCATATACTTTGAGCATATTACTAGGAGGTGCTATTCCTTGTAGAAGGACATGATGCTTGAAAGGATGGAGGGTCAGCAAAGAAGAGGAAGACCTTCAAAGAGGTTATTGACATGGTGACTGCCTCAATGGGCTCTAGTGTGTCAGGAAGTGTGAAGATGGCTCAGGATAAGACAAGGTTCAGATCCACTGTTCTTAGGGTCTTACTCAACTTAGTGGTACCTAACAATAGTTAGAGTGTCCAGACGTGAGTCTGGAATTCCTGCATCTGGTGGATATAGTTTCTGAATAGAATAGTCTCAGAATTTGTTTGTTTGAAAGTAGACTTTCTTCCCCTACTTTGAGTCCCATGGAAATAATAATCCCTTGGCTTCTCCTTTGGATCGATGGGTAGAATTTTTCTAATTTCGACAACTTGGTGCATTTTTCTTTATTTAATGATCACAGTTCCATCTACTACCAAGTAGGAAGACTTAAGGCCACATCTCTGTCAATGCTTGGTTATAAAACTTAGCCCAAAGCCCATTATGGTTTGTATCTGGGACTCACATCATTGAGAAAGCTGTGCATTAACTTATCAGTGTTGAGTTCCCTCTTTTCTTCTGTGCCAGGGTTTCCTTTATTTTCTGTCTTACCTGTCCTCCCATCCGACTGCTTTATGCCTTTAATCCTGGGTCAGTTATTTACTATAATTTTTTGCTTTTCTTCCCCCAAGATGTTGCTTGTGTAGAATATTTAATAAAGTTTGTATTTAAGAAAAAAAGAAATAGCTGGAATAATGAGGGAAAGAATAGAATGATACTAATGGATTTTTTTCTCTCCTTTAAATAATCCTAACAACATTAAAGTAGTGAAGAGATTTTCTTTACAGAATATGGCAAAATCTAAAATAAAACTCTTTGTGAATATGAGCTAATAACTTTATTTATGCCAACTATAAATTGAGGGTTATAGTTAGCTATTGATGGTCATTAAAATCCTTAAATAAAAATGAGGTATAAAAAAATAACACAGAACCTACAACATGGGAAGTGCCCAATAATTAGAAGCTAACAATACCATTAATATATAAACCACACATAAGAGAACCATCAGAGAGTATATTCTACATTCAAGAAAAGTAGCAACATGTCCTTTTTGAGATTCTCATTTGTTTTCAGTAAAAATAAACATACCTTTTCTAGAAGGCGTGACTTTAACAGTCAAAGACTGATATTTACCAAGATCAATATATCTAAGGACATTGAGTGCTACGGACTCATTTTCACATTGTTGAAACCAGTAATCACAGTCTTTTGAAAATATGCTCCATGTTTTTCCTGTAGACAGTCCAAAGTTGTATAATTGCCAAGTATATCTTGGAAAGGTAGCATTTGCGGGTGCAATAGCACTCATGGTAGCCAAAGCCAAAGCATTCATACCATCTGTAATGTTAATAATCAGGAAGCTGCTAAAACCAGGAATGACCACAGTCTTGTGTAGATCTGATTGCTGAAATAAGGAAGTAATACCTGGAGCTAAAATAGAAAAAGAAAAAGAACAAAATCAGACAGCTAATGTTCAACACACATATTTGAGCTTTTAAATTACAGTCTTAACTAGAGGCTCCATTTGCCAGAGTTCAGTCTTGAGCTTCAAGTTTTCCTTATCAGCTCACTTGCTTGTTTTTGTGGTTTGCTGTTAGGGGTGCATCATTTATCTGCCAGTCTGCTAGATTGAGGGGATGGGAAGGTGGGAGGGGAAGGATTGTGTAGTGCTGCTTACTTTATCATTGGTGTATGTATATGCTTGCTTGTTCATAGTTTTATGAGTG